GCAAGTGTGCGACAAAAGCCAGCCAGAGGGCAGGGCCGTCTCTGCCCCCTGACCGCATCCCTTTCCCTGCTCTTCCTGGCCCAGCTCTCTCTCCGGACGGTGAACTCCTCTCGCTCTGCCTATGCCTGCTTCCTCTTTGCCCCACTCTTCTTCCAGCAGTACCAGGCAGCCACCCCTGGTCAGGAAGCCCTGCGCTGTAAGATCTTGATGAAGGTGAGGCCCTTCCCTCATCAGCGGCCCTGTGCCGCTGCCCTGGAATGTGTCTGCTCTGGGACATTCAGTAGATACTGACTGGGGAGGGAGAGGTACTGCAGGAGCGAGCCAGTGTCAAATGCAGTGAGGGGCACAGTAAAGACCACAGAGCATAACGGGAGATACGGAGAGGGTGGTTGAGCCTGCCTGGGTTTGGAGCGAGTGGTGATATTCAAGTTGGGCCTTGAAAGGTAAGTAGGTCTTTCAAGGCATCCCAGACAGGTGTGACAGCATGAACAAAGGCCCAGAAAGGCGTAAACGTTCTGCACGTTGTGGAGGTCCTTTCCTGCTGTGACAGTGCTGAGCCTGGGATGGCCAGGTCCTCCACGGGATGTGGAAGCTGGTCGGTGGAGGCACAGCACTGAGCCGATGGATTTGCCCCGCTCAGTCGTTCCTGGCCGTCTTCCGCTCGCTGGCGATGGTGGAGAAGACCGTGGAGAGATGCTGCATCTCGCTGAATGGCAGGAACAGCCGCCTGGTGGTCCAGCTGCACTGCAGATACGGTGAGTGGGCAGCCGGCTGGCCACGGGGTCCCTGGGGTGGAGGTTAGCAAGACCCACCGAGACCCTGTCTGCCCATCCAGGGGTGAGGAAGACTCACAACCTGTCCTTCCAGGAATGCGAGTCCCTGCAGGCCGTCTTCGACCCAGCCTTGTGCTCCCATGTGCTCCGTGCCCCCGCGCGGTGAGTCTGTCGGCTGGCTACAAGCTGAGCCGTGGGTCTTTTTTTTTCTTCTTTGGAGCTTCAAGAGTCAATTTAAGGAGATGCCTTCTTCGTTTTCTCTTCTACATTTGCTGTCGGGGTCTGGTCTGGCTCTTAGGCAGAGGCTGGAATGGAGGAGGGCGGTGCCCCAGGGTCCTCAGTATCTTCAGGAGCCTGTGTTCTCCACCCCGAAGGTCCAGCTTGGCTTTCTGGCCATTCAGCCCATTCTGACTCCTCTTTTAGAAGGCAGGTCTTTGAAGCACCTGGGTGGCTCAGAGTATCCGACTCTTGATGTTGGCTCAGGTCACGATCCCAGGGTCATGGGATCAAGCCTCGTGTTGGGCTCTGTGCTGGGTGTGGCGCCTGCTTGGGATTTTCTCCCTCGCTCTCTGTCCCTCCCTCACTCGCCCTCTCTCTCTCTCTCTCTCTCAAAATAAACTTTAAAAAATATTTAAAAAGAAAGAAAGAAAAAAAGCAAGCAGGCAACCAACCAAGCATGTCTTTGGTCTGCACGTAAATCCTCTCTCTGGCCTGAACAGCCTTGAACGTCCATCTTTAAGCTTTGTGGCTCAGGAGCTCAAAACCCTTCTCTGGTGGGGTCATCCTTCTGGGACTGTGTTCTTTCGAGAGCAGCCTCTTTTCCTATCCATCTGGACTGTAGATTTGAGGAGTCCGCAGCCCGAGGAAGGAGGCTGGACCGGGAGGTCATGGTCCAGAACGTCTGCCTGAATACGCGGCCATGGGGGTGGGGCTCTGTTCTGGGAAAATCTGAACACCCAGGGGCAGTGCAGGACCTGGCAGATGGGGGCTCCAGTGGAGAACACTAGTGTGGAGAGGGGTAGCTCCCCTCCCACCCTCTGCTGGGTGCTGCTTGTATTTGAGTAGCCCAAGGTCATGTTCATTTTGGTAGCCATAAGGTGTGGTATCTGAAGTTCCCTTTGAGTCCCTACAGTCTGTTTTTCTGAGTTCTGTTGGGATAGTGCGCTCAGGACTCCTTTGGGTAAAGGAAGAGGGAAGGGTGTCACCTCTAGTCTGGATTTGGGTGCTATTTTTTTCTTCTAATGAGCAATTGTTTTTCCTTTTTTCACGGACAATTTCAAATATATGTAGAAGCAGATGCCCACTCCTGTCTCAGTTGTCTTGAGGCCAATTCCAGACGTTGTCTCGTACGTGAATACTTGTTAACGTGTATTCTAAAAAGATGAAGATTTAAGGCCTTTTTCTGAAGGCCGAGTTTATAGATGGCGCCGCTGTGGTTTCCCACCCCTCGGTGGGCAGGTACTGCCTGCCTGGTTCGGCCCATGCAACAGCCCATCCTTCCTGTTACCTCCTCTGGATTCTGCTCTGGTCTGCCCCATCCCTTGCGGTGGACTTTTCTCCAACAGCCCGAGAGCTTTGGATGAGGTAGGAACCGGGTCCTCCTCACCCTGTCCTCTCTCCCAGGGCGTGCTAGGCCTGGCACATGGTAGGTGTCTGTGCGCTAATAACCCGCGCCATAGCTCTGCCTCAGCTCACCAAGAGCGAAGGCCCTGGGCAGGGCTAAGCCTTGGTGTGATGCTGTGCCCTCCTCACAGGGTCCTGGGGGAGGCTGTTCAGCCCTTCCCCCCCACATTGGCAGAAGTGACGCTGGGCATCGGCTCTGGCCGCAGGGTCATCCTGCGCAGCTACCAGGAGGAGGAGGCAGGTGAGGGAGCCAGATGCGGCCTGGGATGACTCAGGGTGGGGGGGGGGGGGCAGCGGGGGTAAGGGGGGACAGGGCCCAGAGGCCTGGGTTCCTCCTGCTCCTGCCTCCAGACAGGACTGTCAAAGCCATGGTGACGGAGATGAGCATCGGGGAGGAGGACTTCCAGCAGCTGCAGGCCCAGGAAGGGGTGGCCATCACTTTCTGCCTCAAGGAATTCCGGGTGAGTTTCCCCCCAACACGCTCCCCACCCTGCCCTCCCGGCCCCGCCCAGGCTCACTGCTCTGCCTCTCCACTCCCAGGGACTCCTGACTTTCGCAGAGTCTGCAAACTTGTCTCTTAGCATTCACTTCGATGTGCCAGGCAGGTAATTCCCAGCCTCGGGTGTGGGAGGGGAGGCTCTGGGCTGCCGGGAGCTGAAAAGCCCTGACCTGGCCCAGGACCTGTCATCTGCCTAGGCCAGCCATCTTTGCCATCAAGGACTCCCTGCTGGACGGACACTTCGTCCTGGCCACGATGTCCGAGTCGGACCTGCGCTCCCCAGAGCTACACAGGCTGGCGCCTCCGCTCCAGGCTCACAGGTGAGGATGCCCACCCGCCTGCCCACGCCTCCCCACTGCCATCTCTGTACCCTGGCCTGAGCCTGCGGCCCGTGTGCCACCCCCAGCACACACACTTCCTGTCAGGCCCCAGCCCCTACAGTACTCACAGCCCCTTCCAGCCCCGCAGGCTCAGCCTTCCTGATCAGCTGTGCTCAGAGATCCCTCCCACCCAGGGAAGTGTCCCCAAGGTCGGGCTGGCTTCCTTCTCTGGCTGAGTCCTCCCCTCTGAGCCTCTTCCCAGGCCAGGGAGGGAACAGGCTGCTGGGAGGCAGGGAGCTGCCTGGGGCTGGGGAAAGCAGGTGGCTGGAAGGGCAGGTGGGATGGGGAGGATGGGCCCAGTGTAGCTGAAACAGAGGAAGTTTAGTCTGGCCCCCCGCCCAGCACGTCCCTGGGCCCCAGTGCTCTCCAGCTCTGTCTCCCGGGAAGGTGGAGGCTTTGGCCCCAGGTGGTCTAGCTCAGAGGATTTGATGCTCCCCTACCCAAACTGAGCTAAACTCGCTCCCAGGATGCCTCCCTCAGGCCCTGATCTGAACTCTGATCAAATGGATTCCAGGTCCACTCCCTGCAGGAAGCCTCCACTTAACCACTACGTCTTTTCCCCTCCAACTAAATGAGAAAGTAGTAAAGCCAAGGGATCATCACTGGTCACAAGGCTTTTACAGCCCCCTCTGAGTCCTCTAAGGAGGGGCCCTGCCTCTGTACCCTCTTTTCTCCCTGTTCCTGACACCGTGTTCCTGCCTACAGCACACCCCACCTGGATGACTTTGCCAATGACGACATTGACTCTTACATGATCGCCATGGAAACTACTGCAGACATCGAGGGCTCCCGGGCAGCACCCTCTGTGTCCTTTTCACCTGGCCACCAGCCCCCTTCTAGCCCTGGCCCCTACTCAGAGGACAACGACACTGAGCCCAGTAGAGAGCCTGGGACTCCCCCCCCCCAAGAAGGTAGGAGCTGGAGATGGAGGCAGGGGTGGGAGGCAAGGAGGGAGCAGCCTCCAGAACTCACCCCGCTTCCTCTGCTCCCTTCCAGTTCCGCTCGCTGTTCTTTGGCTCCGTCCTCGCCCCTGCACACTCCCCTCCCGGCCCCAGCCCTGTGCTGGCTGAAGATAGTGAGGGTGAAGGCTGAACTGAGAACAAGCCCGTGTCCAGAGGCCCTGGACTAGACGAAGCCACGGCCTCCCCCTTCCCCCAGAGAGCTGATCTCTCTGCCCTGGTGGGTGGTAAAGGCAGGCTGTGCTGGAGTGGAGCTGGTTGGTCTCGTCCCCACCTCAGACCCCTCCCAGCTGTCTGTGACTAGCCTGGGTCCTGTCTTCCCTCACCAACTCCCAACCAATCATGTCTGTTCCCAGGCTTGGCACCGGGCTGCCACCTGATGGGAGGTCCCTCACCTGTTCCTCCCCGTAGGCCTTCAGGCCAGACTCCTAACTACGCAGCCAGGGAGGACACCTGCCTTCCCTGAGACAAAAGTCACAAAGGGGCTCTTGGCCCCTGCTGCTCTCCCGGCTTTGCCAACCGTGACGTGTCCCTTCCTTAAACCCTGGGCACGCCCCTGGGATCCCTTTAGCCGGCAGACTATTTTTCTTGTTTTCTCTATGCTGTCTGGCCCTGGTTTGGAATTCTAAGCCCCCGTGGACCCGAGCCCGTGGCTGGGGTTGCCTTGGCTGGCGCCCCATGCCCGGCAAGCCTGTCCTCCCAAGCGGCTCTGGGCAGAAGGGCTGCCAGGCTCAGTATTTGGGACAAGGGAGACAGAGGCCGTGGCGAGAATCCAGCTTTGACCTTTATTCAAGAGACCAGATGGGTCGCCCCAGGATCTGTCTGCTGGCCCTGAGGCCAAGCGAGGCTGGAAACCCACATCTGGCCCTGCTTTGCCCTGAGCTGCAGCCTCAGCCCCAGGGTCCTGCTTGTCACCGCCGCCGGTGCAGGCGGAAGGAGCCCTGGGGGACTGGACGCTGCTATCGATTCATTAAAAAAAAAAGAAAAAGAAAAATATACCAAGGCTCCGTGCTCCCCGTGACAGGTGGGCCTGGGGGGAGCCAGCACGAACCCCCCAACGGCCACATAATTTCTGTACAATCCACCATCTGGGGCAGAGTGCGGGCACGTGGAGGCTATTTCTTGGCTTTGGCGGAGTTGCGGGGTGGGGTGATGGGCCGGCCTCCAGGGTTCAGGCCGCTGAACTGCCCGTATTTCCCCTTGTTCTTGTCAGCGGGCTTGAGGATCTAAAAGAGACAAAGCTGGTCAGGCTCACGGGCTAAGCCGTGGGGTCACGGGCCCCTTCCTTCCCCATCCCCACCTGGAAGGAGCACATGAGCGTCTCATCCACACTCATCATGGCGCCTGCGTTGTCAAACTCGCCACAGTAGTTGGGAGCTGAGAAGAGTGTCACCAGCTGCCGCTTGGCAAAGAACTCATAGCCGTCTTCCACCACCTGGGGGAGGATGGGGGCAGTGAGCTCAGTAGGTGCTAGCTACCAGGCCCCGGCTCCCCTCCCCAGCCCAGGGCGGCCAGCCCACCTGGTGTGCCCGGCAGATGAGGTCCAAGTCGTGTTTGTGTAGGAACTTGGCCACTACCTCAGCCCCAAAGGTAAAGGAGACACCACGGTCATTCTCGCCCCAGCCCTGCACGTCCTTGTCAGGGTCAGACCACAGCAGGTCACATAGCAAGCCCTGGTCAGGCACGTCTGTTGGCCGCATGATACGCCGAATCTGCTCCATGGACTGCAGGTCCGGGGACAGGCCTGGGGCACGTGGGGGGAAGGGGGACACAGGTCACTTTTCTCAAACCGGCCTCGAAGCCCTCCTGCTCCAGAAAGCCTTTGCCGGTCAGTCTCCCCTCACCCACCACCACCTGGCTCTCTCCCAGAGTCCCAGGAGGCCAGGCGGGCAGAAGTCCTCGCCTTCTGCCTCTTCAGGTTCCTGCCCTCAAGGACCAAAGAGCTCTCTGAACAAAGGAGACAAAGTACATTCACGATGCCAAGGCCAAAATGGGGGTGAGTGCGACCTAACGCCGGGGCGGGGGGGGCGGGGCTTTCTGGAAGATGTGACATGCAAACCAAGACCCCTGGGATGTGGCCTGGGGCTCTTCCTTCCCAGACATTCCTTCCACACGTGCCTCAGAGACACCCTCACCTCCATGGCAGCAGAAGATTTTCTCGTCCACAATGGCAGCAATGGGCAGGCAGTTGAAGCAGTCGGTGAAGGTTTTCCACAGTTTAATGTTGTAGCGCCTCTTGCCTGCCAGGAGGGAGATGCCTCGTGAGGCCCAGCTGCCCCCCCCCCCTGCCCTGGCACGCTCAGACACAGCTGGGGGAAAAATGGAAGGCAAGAGAAGCCCCCTTCCCTGACTCCACTGCCTACCAGCCATCCTGGAAGAATTCTAAAGCAGCGGAGTCCACAGGAACCTCAGTTCCAATATGGAACAACCCACCCCCACCCGGTGAGCAGGGCCAGGCCAAGACTAGGTCTGGTTTATCTCCGCTTCTGGTAGACAGAACCCAGTCCAAATAGGCATCCTAAGTGCTTAATGGATGTACTGGAGGGGAGTGTCATCAGGCAGGGCCCCACATGAGAATATATATGGTCCTCAGTCAACAGCCATTCACCAGACCCCTCCTGAGTGCCAGGCCCCGTGCCAGGAGGGCAGGGTGGAGAGCCATGAACCGACGTGCACCCTTCATAGAGCTCATACTCTGCAGGTACCTGTCAGACACTAATACCTCTACTGCCAGGCCAATGTGAGGGTCCCACTGAGTAGCGGAGTCCCTCACGGACTTGGGCAACCCCAGATACTCTGCCTACTCACACTCGTCATAGAAGCCATAGATGCGGTTGATGCTGGCACACTCGTGGTTCCCACGGAGCAGGAAGAAGTTCTCTGGGTACTTGATCTTATAGGCCAGCAGCAGGCAGATGGTCTCCAAAGACTGCTTGCCCCGGTCCACGTAGTCCCCCAGGAAGAGGTAGTTGCTCTCTGGAGGGAAGCCGCCGTACTCAAATAGCCGCAAAAGGTCGTAGTACTGGCCATGGATGTCACCTGTGACCCAGAGAACCTGTTCAGCACTAGGTGCAGGGGTTACACTTGAACCCAGGACCAAGTCTGGGCTCCAGGGAGGAGCAATCCAAGGACTTGGAGGGGAGGAAGATTCCACTTTCAGAAAGCAAAAGGGGCCTGGTCAGGGGGCTCACCGCAGATCTTGAGGGGTGCCTCCAGCTCCAGAAGAATGGGCTGGCTCAGGAAAATCTCCCGTGATTTGAGGCACAGACCACGGATCTCGTTTTCTGTTAGCTGTACATTCTTTCCAGGCCGCGAGCCCTGCACTGGGGACGGAATGGGGCATCAAGACTCTGGTCCCTCAGGCAGGAGGAAGGTGGACGACGCAAGGGGCCCTATGGGCACATCTGGGGGCTCAAGGGCCTTCTGGGCCCCTCCTTGCCCCAGGGGCAGCTGTCGCTGATGAGCCTCCCAGGACCTCCGCCTCGGGCCTCCCAGGTCGGGACCCCTCCAGGAGGGGGGTCTGCTGTGCCCAGGGGCCTGCCATCCAACACCCCACCCTACCCTACGGCGCAGGACCCCTGGAAGGGGTGGAGCTAGGTTTCTTAGGTTTCTCCCTCGCCCCGAGAGCGCAGGTCGACCCGTGCGCCCCGGGCCCAGGAGAGGGGGCTGTCCCCTCGAGCCAGGGGGTCCCTGGAGCCCCCCCCAGGCTCGCTGCGACTGGGGGGCAGCCGCAGCGGCGGGACCTCGCGGCCCGTCCCCGCCCAATCTAAGCTGGCCCTGGGAGGGGCAGGCCCGCCCGCGCACCACTTCCGGGCCAGGCAGGGGGCCCGGGCGCGGCGGGCGCCGACCTCCCCCGCCCCGGCCAACCTTCCAGCAGGCGCCCGATGATAGAGTCCAGGTTGAGCTTCTCGCTGTCGGACATGGCGGCGCCGCCGCTCCGGCCCAGCAGCTCCGGGCCCACTCCTGCCGCCCGCCCTCCCGCTGCCTCCTTCCGGCCTGGCGCTCCTTCCGCCCGCCCCAGCCAGCCCCGGCCTGCCGCCCCGCCTCCTCGGCCTGCCGCCCCGCCCCGCGCGCGCTGCCCCCGCGCTCTAGCGCCCCCGCCGGACGCCGGGAGCAGCGGCCGCGGCGGTCCGGAGGCGGGGCATAGGGGACGGGGCGGGGCGGGGCGGGGCGGGGCTTGCGCTGCGTTTGGGTGTGTGTGTCCAGGACGGAGCCCGGCCAGTGGGGTGGGGCTTGGTGGGGTGGGGCTTGGTGGGGCGGGGTCGAGTCTGGTCCCTCCCCTGACGAATGACCGAGTCCAGTTCCGAGGGTATGGGACCGGAAATACTGTGGAAGTTGTTTTTCTCTATCAAAGACTGACCAGTCTTTCCCACCCACCCTGGGCGGGAGTGTGGTGTGAGTACGTTAATAACTGTCTCCCCATACACTACGGATTAAGTCCTCAAGGTGCAGAAAAAGAAACTGAGGCTCAGAGATAGCAAGGGGCTGGGCCAAAACCCCAGCTTCACATTCATGGAGGACCTTTACCTCCTGAGTCTTTGTGGCCCCCAGGCAGCTGGCCAGACTCAGACACCCACCGCGTTTTGGTCCACACTGTGGTGCGCGCTAAGTTAATATTTTTTTTATAAGTTCCGTCATTGCTTCTTGAGTGCATAATAACGCTGCATTATGTGCGTGTCCAAAGCATTACTTTGTAAAGAGCAAAACTATAATAAACCATAGTTCTCACTGGAATCCTGAACTGCCTTACGTGCCGGTAACCTCAAAACTGGAGGTGGCCTGGCCTCTGTACCTCTGCTGGGCCCTGACCCGTCACACCCATGGCGGAAACCTAAGCCTGCCGCCATCCAGCCCACGGGGGCCCACGGAGAGCCCACGGGTAGGGTGGGAGGAGCCCACAGCACTGGGGCAGACCGGAAGAGCCTCGGGGAGGAAGGGGTGACCCCCCCCACACTAGGGAGGGTAGTGTGGGAGGGGCCCCCCAGCGGGTTGCTGTCTGCTACTGAGGAGGAAGTGAGAGGAGGAGGTGAGGTGCAGCAGGGAGGTAAGCTGGGCTGGGGGGGGGGGGGGGCAGGGGCAGGGGCTGGGCCTGGGGCTGGGCCTCTATGCAGAGGTCCGGCTTTTCTGCCACTTCAGGGCCCACCCTCCCCTCCCCCAATAAAAGTGGGGACAGAAGGAGCTTGGTGAGATACCCCGAAGCCTCTTCCCTCTGAACCCCACAGTCAGGTCCTCAGGCTGGGGACCGGCTGGATGGGAGCCCAGGCCCCAGGCTGCTCAGGAGTTGCCTCTCACCCTGGCTCTCCCCACATCTTGCAGCCTGTTGTAGCAGGGGTCTGGGGCACCATGGCCCAGGCCCTAGGGGAGGACCTGGTGCAAACTTCAGAGCTACAGGATGACTCCAGCTCTTTGGGATCTGACTCCGAGCTGAGTGGGCCCGGCCCATATCGCCAGGCTGACCGCTATGGCTTCATTGGGGGCAGCTCAGCAGAGCCAGGGTAAGTGGGGGAGAGATGGGGGGCAGCGGGGTGCTGGGGCTGAGGATGGGGGCTGAGGGATGAATTTTAGAGTGAGGCTCAACCGCGAGGGTCCTGGAGGGTCTGGGGGCTCAGCCAGTGTCACCCCTTCTCACACTCCAGGTAGAATCCTAGAGCCAGCAGGGCTGAGACAAGAGTGTCTCTGATCTGTCTCTTTTACCCTGAACCTCCAATGCTTTGCATCTATCCTTAAGGCCAAACATCCTTCCCCTTTTAATCTCTGCCCCAATAATCCCAGAACCTAACCAAAGAACCCACACCTCTTCCCTCACCCTCTCCCTTTCCCAATACACAGACAGGAAAACAAGTGCAGATAGGAACTTGCCCGAGGTCACCGCGGAGACCAAATAGAACTACATTCAAACTCAGGACTCCTGGCTTCTAGTCCGGGGCTCTGTCCACTTAGCTTCTCTTAGGAGTTGTCTGTGTTCCTACCCTGGGGGACGGCCAACCAACCCCTCCCCCAGCACACACCTACACACCCCCTTCAGCCTCTCCTGCTTCTGCCCACATCAGAGCCACATCCTTTCCTGTCCCCATGACAACGATTGGCAACTCCTGGGTGACAGGTCACCCCCCTCCCGCCCCAGGGCTCCCCAGAGATCTCCAGGGCCAGGAGCTGAGTTTACCTGGGTAGCATGAAGGGTGGCAGATGTGGGCTCTAGGTAACAGCTGGCCCACACCTCGACACCTGTGTCGTGTGCCCTCAGGCCCGGTCACCCTCCTGCAGACCTTATCCGCCAGCGAGAGATGAAGTGGGTAGAGATGACCTCACACTGGGAGAAAACCATGTCTCGGCGATACAAGAAGGTGAGGGGACGATGGTCCCATTGCCTCTGCCCGTGCCCTGGCAAAATTTACCCCTCCCGGATCCCGGGACCTCCTGCCTTTTTCCCCTACCGCCCAAGGTGACCCTTGCCCCACGACAGGCTGGGGCTTGGGACCTGCCAACAGAAGCAGGAGAGGCTGGCCTCGCTGTTCTAACGGGACTCCTTGGCCTCACCCACAGGTAAAGATGCAGTGCCGGAAAGGCATCCCCTCGGCTCTGCGGGCCCGGTGCTGGCCTCTGTTGTGCGGGGCCCACGTGTGTCAAAAGAACAGCCCCGACACCTATAAGGTAATAGAGTTGGCAGGGGTCCTGCCTGCCCTTCTCAGAGCCCCTCGCCACTCCGAGCCCTCACCCCCACCTTCCTGTCCACCCACAGGAACTGGCCAAGGCCCCTGGAGACCCACATTGGATGGAGACCATCAGCAGGGACCTGCACCGCCAGTTCCCTCTGCACGAGATGTTTGTGTCACCTCAGGGTCATGGGTAGGAGGCCAGGGACCCCCAGAGACCTCCGGCCCCACGATCCCCAGGCCACTTCGGCCCAGGCCCCCACCTCAGCTTTATATCCTTCCATCTCAGGGGACCCAGTGAGGCCCAGGGGGGCTGGGGCCTGGGAAGGGGCCGCCAGTGGGTGGGGAAGGGGTGCCTGGAGGACTGACCCCTAATGGGGTCTTCCGGTACAGGCAGCAGGGGCTCCTGCAGGTACTCAAGGCCTACACGCTGCATCGGCCCGAACAGGGCTACTGTCAGGCCCAGGGCCCTGTGGCTGCTGTGCTGCTCATGCACCTGCCCCCAGAGGTGAGTGCCCTAGACCCTACATCAGGGACTCGAGACCCTGACACCCCAACCCCAGTGATCCGTGACCCCCAACCCCAGGAACTCTGGACTCAGGGACCTGGGATCCTTGACTCCCAGATCCTGTCCTAGTGACCTGGGGCCTCGTGACCACCAACCTCCGTGACCTTCAAGGCCAACGATCTTGACTCCAGAAACCTGGGACCCTTGGTCCCTGACCCCTGTCCCGGTGATCTGAGAACCTGGATGTCATCACCTTGACTTCACAACTCCTGATTTTGAGCCCCGTGACCATGACTTCTGACCCTTATGACCCCCCAAGAACCCAGGACTTGAACTCTGGGACCCTCCCAACCCTTGACCAGCGAGCTCCAACTCTGTGACTCTGAGAATCAATACTGTGAGCCCTGTGACTTCCACCTTCCTAAACCCATCGTCGGCCTCTACCTGGGCGGCGAGGAGTCTTTCGGTCAGAGCCTGAGTTTAGGCTGCGTTTAGGCTCCAGGCTCCAGAGCCACCCCCAGATGATGCCCAGGCCCTCCCCCGTGCTCTTTTCTCCTCCCCTGTGCTTCCCTCTGCGGTCCCCTCGGTGCGGGCATTCACGGCCTGTGCCCCTCCCGCAGGAGGCCTTCTGGTGCCTGGTGCAGATTTGTGAGGTCTACCTCCCTGGCTACTACGGGCCCCACATGGTGAGAGGCTGGAGGGGGTCGGAGGGCACAGGGGAGGGGCTGGGCAGGCACGGGCCTAGGGACTGAGAGGGGCAGCCCGGGGTTTGCGAGTCGTGCTGACGGACGGACGGACGTGGCTGCAGGAGGCTGTGCAGCTGGACGCTGAAGTGTTCGCGGCCCTGCTCCGGCGGCTGCTCCCGCGCGTGCACAAGCACCTGCAGCAGGTGGGCGTCGGGCCTCTGCTGTACCTGCCCGAGTGGTTCCTGTGCCTCTTCGCCCGCTCCCTGCCCTTCCCCACGGTGCTGCGCGTCTGGGATGCCTTCCTCAGCGAGGGTGAGTAGGCAGCTGGAGGCGGGGCGTGGCCAGGGCCGGGAGCCTGGGGTGCGCACGGGGACGGACGGACGAGCGCACCAGCCGTGCCTGGCCCCACCTGCCGCTGCCAATCCCGGCCTGGGTGGGGGTGCCAGAGTGTGTTCAGGGTGATGGCGTCGGGTTGGCGCTGGGGGAACAGCGCAGCCCCTGCCTGCACGTCACCAGTGTCATCCCCAGCTTTGCGCCTGCGGTGAGACCCCCCCCTTAGGGAGGGCAGGCTCTGCCTGGAGGCGGGCTGGGGGCAGAGGTGGGGAGATCGATCGCAGCAGTGGAGCTGTTCAGGGACTGGGCTCGGTAGGCACGGCCAGCGGTAGGGACGCGGCCAGTAGGAGCGTAACGGCGCTCATCCCCGGAGCCCACAGGCACTGGGTGCCAGGCACTGCTGTAGACACTGGGATCACCAGCATGAAGGACACCTACATTCCGGTGGGGGGCGGGGGAGACAGCAGTAACCATATAACGAGATATTTATAGAGGTGCCTGGCTGGCTCCGTCGTAGAGCATGCGACTCTTGATCTTGGGGACGTGAGTTCAAGCCCCACGGTGAGCACAGAGCTTAAAAAAAAAAGAGAGCAGGTATTTATAGATTGTCCTAAGTGCCACGAAGAAAATAAAACAAGGGATGTGACAGAGTGTTAGGGGCGCAGTGGGAGGAGAGCGCTGTTTTCAAGATGTTTTTGGCCTCTGCACGGCGGGGGGTGGGGGGGGGAGGCATAAACTGGCAGGGCCCGTGTGGAGGCCGCGGGGCCAGGAGAGACACTGTCCACAGGGTCGCGGCTACAGATGACTTGGCGGGCACGGGCGTGG